CTGACATATAAGGCTCACCTATAAGGCTCCCCACATGTGCATGTCACATATGTATCAACTAAGAGAGGCATTCGCGCTTACAATGAAACAAACAAAGAAAATAGCAGACAAGATGAAGGGCATACTCAGACCTTTCTTTCGCATTTTACTATGCAATTCCCTTTGTTTACATTACTACATATGCTTTTTAGAATTGCTTACATTCTTTACTTACGCTTTTTTCTTGGTATCTTTTCAATATCTTTCACATGTATGCATATACAACTACACATTGTCACATATCTATTAGCTAAAAAAGTGCACTTTGTGAGACACATCGTCACATATCCACTAGCCAAAAGAGCGCACTTTGCGAGACAAGTGAAGAAACTACATGAAAACATCAAACATACTGAAACCGCCCCTCTGCCTTTTCCTGCGCAGTTCTTCTCATTCTATGTTTTGGGTTTTTTCACGGTTTCTCTTTCTTTTGTTTATCCCAATTTACCATGCCTCTCAGGTACAAGGCTTGCCATGTTGATGTAGTTCAGTGCTAGCTGCCACCTTTCCCGTGCGTCATTATGGCCGACTTGCATGCGATGAAACAGAGGCAGAGCAAAGGGGGAGGGGATAAAGAGAAAGGAAAGCTCAGCGACTCTCTCTCTCTCTCTCACACACACACACACACACACACACACACACACACACACACACACACACACACAGAGGGTTGGTTTGAGTAAAGTCAACCACTTTTCTCAGGGGTAATGCTAACTCCAGCCAACGTGGGGAGTCCTTATCTATCAGTCAAATGCACCCTGGGCAGACTATTGGCTCGACCTCCTGATGATTCACTGAAAGCCCGACGAAAACAGTCTGTCACAGTCATGCTTTTTTGTGTTGCATATAGCATAACAACACACACACACACACACACACACACACACACACACACACACACTTACGACAAATGTAAAAATGAGAGACGGTGAACAGAACAAAAAGAAAAAAGTAAACAAAAAAAATGACACAGTATAGAACTTCAATGCGAAGGTGCTCATAGTAGCAGCAGTGGTGGTGGTGGTGGCGGTGCTGGTGCTGGTGTTGGTGGTGGTAGTAGGAGTAGGAGTAGGAATAGTAGAAGTGGGAGTGGGAGTACTATCGAAGTGGGAAACGGCATTCCTGTAGAGGCAGGAAACGGCTATAAAGTGAAAACACAAGAAAGGCCTGTTTTTCATGCCACCTGATGGCTGAGGGTCCAGACCTTTCATTCTTACAAAGGCCGCTACAGCCTACCAGTACCCCCTTCATTTTTCCAGAGGTCGGTGACGGCAAAATGCATCTTTTCATTCATCAATTGCAATTCCGACGGACTGCTGGTTTAACGACCATAGCTTCAGACAGGGGATGTGTCTTGTCAATCAGGCTGCATGAGGTGGTAGGGAAACAAATGTGTCGACATAATCTCACTCGGTTTCCTGCAAATGCTTGTTTAAAGCTATAAGGATAAGTAGCTTCGGACAGATGCTCTCTCTTCTCTATCCGGTTGCATTAGGTGGTAGGGGAGCCAAAGGCGACCTTATTCACTGTTCTTTTACTGAGGATTGTATTAATCTTTCGACAGTGCAAAATCAAAAGGTACTCCCACCCAGGTGTGTTATTATTTCCCACCATCTTAACAACTTGATGAACTTTCTGGGGGTTTAAACCACCACTACCTTTCTCATATATCGACCGCTGCCCGCCGGCGATTTTTTTGGATGAGGTCATTTCCGCAAATGGGACTACAGCTGCAAAAGGTAGTGGTGATTTGAGGGTTTATTTAGCTCATTGGCTTGAGAGGGTGTGATTGTCCTCTCTAGGTAAGTTGGCATCTTTTCCCAGGCAGCTAGGACTGCCCGTTGGATAGGATCCGGGGATTCCGATTCATATAGAATGGCACACAAAATATGGGCAATTCATACCATATCTTGTCCCTTTCTAGTTGTGACTCCGAGGTTCTCATGCCTGACTTGATCTTGGCAAAGAAATATTTAGACATTGTTTTGTTGAGTGCGAACTCTGTCATCCTAAACCGGATTCGTAACCCTCTCAACTCCCATCTCCAGCTAGGCAATTCTTCTTTCACCTGGAAAAGGAGGTTGTAGTAGAAATTACCAGAAGGGTGTGCTATGAGGTTGCTTTCAGCTATCTCTAGTGTAAGCTCGAGCTCCTTTCACTTCGCCCTACCGGTAGTTTTGGCTAGGACCTTTGATTCTTCTGCTGCTGTTCCTGAAAGCACAGCCTAGTGGTCAAGAAACCACTGGTGTCAGTCGACATTTCCTTTCGCTTCTGAAAGAAGCATGTACTCTTTTGTTTAGTCGAGTGATGCGAAGAAGAGCCGTCATCGAAACGGTGAAATCCTCTTCCATTGTCCACTGGGTTGCCAGGCTGATTGGGTTGTGGTCCAGGCTGGGTTAGGAAGATTGAGAGACAGTATCCTCTTCTTTTATGTCGCCTTGGGGTATGACGTTCTACACAGGAACAAGACGGCCCTGGAAAAGACCGTACGATCTACGTGATTCTGCTGCATCAAGGGGAAGTCATTTCCCTCTTGGTATGACATTCTACATAGGTCAAGAGGTTAAATTTCATCACCGGTTTATGAGTTTGGCGGTAGCCCTAGCGGGGCCAAATCGTGTAGACCGATATATTCTGCCCATGCCTGGATTTAAGGTGGTATTCCAATCACCTGCCAAGGTGACCAGCTGGTATTGGTGTGGAAACCGTTCTGAACGAGAGTGGCCTTGTGCCTTCCATGTCAGGGGCATAGACCTTAATAACTGTTATGACCCTGGCCAATTTCGAGATACACATCCACTGAGAAGTACAATGCCATCCAATTGCAGAAAGAAATGAATGAACTTGAGAGGAGAGAGAGGAGTAGAAGAAGAAGAAGAAATGAGAAAGAAGAAGAAGAAGATGTACACCAGCAAGGATGATGACAAGGCTCTTCTTCTTCGCCCAACAATCTCCTCCTCCTTATTTCCCCCTTCTCTTATTCAAACAAGAAATAATAATACAATGTTGAACGACAGGTCCAGAATCATGTCCGAGTCCCTTTTCTACTGCAGGTATCACTCAAGGTCCACCATAGCCATGGCCGCCTCCCCCACTCTTCACACACATAGGCCGAGGCTATGGCGGACTACTAGGCCTTGCTCCGATGTCCAAAGGACAACGCAGAGCAGCTATGGCTGCTACAGCTCAGGCCGCCATGCCCAGCCCTGCCTTGAAGCTTCTTGGTGTAGCTCCCCCGGCTGGGGACTCCTTGCAGCAGCGCCCACCAAGGTGATGA